CGCGGCTTCCAGTTGCGGCTGTCAGATCACAGCACCCACGCCCACCGCAACGGTCGTGTCTCAGCGAAAGATGAGAACATGGACACGCAGCCGTGATCACGGGGAATCTCAGCCTGAGAGGAGGACAAATTCTTTCGCCGTGAACATTCGGACGTTCATCTCGTGTATCAGACTCTATCATGGGTGATTTAATACAAACATTAGAGTTCTCGTGTATACAAATTCCATACCTAGGGGCCAGTGCAATGGAGCTTCACACTGAAGGCATATATAAGCAAGCACTGTTCACACTGCTCATTCAGTAACGGACAAGTACAGGATCATATTAATACATACCTGTCGAGAACCTTGTGTTTGAAGTTTAAAACAAAGGATTATGCTTCTATAGCATCAGTAAACAAACAACATTGTTGCGAGCAAGAAAATATACCCGTTGTCTGATACGGCGGTGGTCGTGGCCACGGCTGGCAGTGACGCGACGGCACACAAAGGAGGTGCATAACACGCGCGCGTGCACGTGCACAGACTTCAAAGCTGGTGTCACATGCGTGACTGACGTCACGACTAGTTACCAGAGGTCCCACATGTGTTATGTACACGACGGACGTTAAAATTTATAAAAGATTAAAAAAAAAAAAAAAAAAGACTAGTTACCAGAGGCAGACGCTGGAGCACGTGCAGTTTCCTGAGCCTTCACACTGCCGTCTAGTACTATCTCAGACAGCCTGGCCTGGTACCTAGGTAGAACTATTAGAACCACCAGAACTACTTACGAGCTCGAGGCACAGAATCCGACGTTCCCGTCCCTTCTCGAACGAAAGCTTAATCCCCTATTTCTCCATGAAAGGATGTCGACTCCCCGCGGCCTGTCTAATAGCAATCTTTCTATACAAGACGCGATAGATCTTCCACCGGTGGCCGACAAAATTTGAAAAGATGTATTGCAAGGTTTCGGCATGGTGAAGCTTTGAAGTTTTGCCCGAAGTGTCCGTACTTAGGACTACGACGTCCCACTTCGCTGGGGTTAGGCCTGAAATTGTAAATTGGTATGTGAACCTTGTTTGGTTCTCTATTACAACCTCACTCGTTGGACAGTTGCGATCCTTCTTGTGTCGACTTTCTGCGATGATGATAAAACCTCCATGATAGCTTGCACGAATCAGAAAATCCTCCCAGCTCTAGAGAAATGTAGGCGGCTCTGATTTGATCTGGTTTGATTCGTTCTTGCTCACACACAAGGCCATTTCAAAGATGAGTCGAGGGTGAAGTCAGGTGGGAAGGAGTCATGCCGTCAGTGCTATGTCAGCCATCTCGACCAGTATACGGTGTTCGCGTTGCTGGGCACGAGAGTACAGCTATGTACAAGTTTGATGAGTACCGCACGAAACGAGCCGCTGATAACATGTTGTAATGTTTCCAGGACCATTCCAGATCCCCTTGTGCATCGCCGGCTGGCCATGCAATCTTTGCCGAGCCTGATCAATAGGCTGCAACCCATCTCCTCGTGTATTCTGGCCTCCCACCCTAGTAGAGTAGCAGAAGCTCTCACACGAATCATCGCCTTGCAACAAGAAGGTTACCTGAGCCGTTCGGCCACAAGTATCTTCTCTATGATGCGCTTGTTGTAAGATCAAGGGCTCGAATACTCTTTGATCATAACCCCGATGAGATACTATTTAACCTCTTCCTACTGAACTCGTATTGTAGGCTCTTTCTGTCTCCTCATCTTCACAAACCACTTTCTATCTGTTCATCCCGAAGATAAAGCCAAATGCTAGCTCAAATCGACGACGTCGCCAAGAAGACTTTCGACTACGTTATCGTTGGTGCGTATCTAATCTTCGATCTATGAGTACCCTGCAGAGACTCAAGCGTTTGGTACCAGGTGGCGGCGTACGTGTCTCAGATCAAAGCCCCTATAGCTTGCTAACATCGTTCATTTCTCATCGTTCACTGACCATGCTGAACACTCTCAACCGTACTTTTGAGTAGACCGCTGGTCTGACGCTCGCCGCCCGGCTTAGCGCGGATCCCTCAAAGTCCGTACTCGTGCTCGAAGCGGGCGAGGCACATTTGGATAACCAAGACATCTGTGCGTGTTTCTTCATCTACCGCTGCAGCACTCTCGAAAGTCTGTGTGTTGGTAACAAACGCTGACTGGTGTATAAATATTCATCAATAGTGGCTGTCCAGGCATATGGTTCGCACTTTGCCAACGACGGGTATGTGTACCGGCACAAATGGGTAAGCAAGTTTATTCCGCGTAGCACACACCCGAGTTGTGCGGTATAGTTGAAATCATTCAATGACACTCACTCGCTTGTCCATGTCCATGTAGATCGCCCAAAAGCACGCGGCGAATCGTGAAGGTGTTTGGGAGCGGTACGTCGTAGAATGTTGACATTACCACTTTGTTTCTGAACCACGGACGTTTTTCGGTTTCTTCATTATAGCGGTAAAGGTCTTGGCGGATCTTCTGGTGTCAACTTCCTAGGATGGTTCAGGCCACCCACACAAGACATCGACGGTGAGTTTTTATCCTCCGAATGGCTCACCGCTCGTGATCCTTCAAGCTTCAAGTTTTTGATGGTTTTATTTTCAGACTGGGAGACACTGGGAAACCCTGGATGGAGCTTTGCCAACTACCTCGAACGTGTCAAGCGCACGGAGGGTCTTATCGATCCCAACAAGGATATTGCGGAACGTAACTACATTAACGTAAAGGACTGGAAGATAGGTCGGGACGGCCCCGTCAAGCTATCTTGGCCTGCTGTCGTAGATGAGGGTGAGAGCAGGATTTTAGATGTTCGTGATCTTTCATGCTTGCTGCATCTCACATGCATTAGAGCTGACTTGGGTTTGCTTAGACGTTCCATATTGATGGGTTCAGGAAGAATCAAACACCGGTATGTTATCCTCCATCATGTGTATGCTCCAGAGCGATGTTGTTGATTGTATTCTGTTGAATAGTACAATGGAGATGTAAGACCCTGTGTTCAACTTGGTTGCGCTATCGGTTACTTATGCTCATACTTATCTTATAGCCTGCGGGATTCTGGCTTGTCCCATCCTCGCGCGACCCAAAGACGAACACACGTTCGTATGCTACTACGGTAAATGTCTTCTGTTTGACAAACTATCGATGTTGTAGATCTAACATTGTCCGTAGGCATTCTACCAGCCAAATGCGTCCCGACCAAACCTTACTGTACTCGTTACAGCTACCGCTCGGCAAGTGTTGCTGTCGTCGGCAGATGCAAATGGCGAGGTGAGAGCTACTGGAGTCGAGTTTGAGCATGGAGGGAAAGTGCACCAGGTCCACGCGAACAAAGAAGTCATCTTGAGTGCAGGGTACGGAATTGTTCTGTTTATAACCTCTACGCAGCCTCATCACCAAAAAATTGGCGGTTTACTAGGACGTTGACGAGCTCACACCTCCTCGAGCTCTCTGGGATCGGTAGTCGTGATGTTCTCAACAAGGCTTCCATTCCGATCAAAATCGAACTCCCAGGCGTTGGCGAGAATCTGCAAGAGCACATCTATTCTGGTGTCTCTTACGGTATGAATTGTATCTGCTCTGTGAAAAGAATCACTAGCTGACAGTATGATATAAAGAGCTGACCGATGATGCCCCCCTCGATACCCTCGACATCCTCCGTGACCCCGCGGTGCTCGCCAAACATCTCGAACTCGCGAAAGAAGGCAAGGGACTGTTCCACGCAGGATGCGTCGGCGTCGGGTTCCTCGCTCTCTCCCAACTGTCACCTAAGCGCGCTCCCGAGCTGCACGCCAAGATCGGGAAGATCATTCAAGAATTGGAGAGTGAGGGTGATGCGGATCCAGTGAAGAAAGGGTTGGTTGAGCAGTACAAACTGTTGAAACAGAGGTATAGTGATAAGGAGGGTGAAGGATCGCCTGGATTCGAGTGGATTTCGTTCCCTGCGTGCTTGTCGACTCCCAGTAAGTCTTCCGACTTTTCCTATCAAGAAAATTCTGCTTGACTCTTGTTTCGACTACAGACTTGCCGACTCCGGGAAAGAGATATGTTACGATGATGTTGGTCTTGAATCATGGATTCTCGAGGGGCACTGTGGTGAGTCTCAGGTCTTCCCCGATAACTAAGATGGAGATATTCACCTCGGACTACAGCACGCCGTATCAAAGGACCCCTCTGTCCCGCCTGAGATTGACCCAGGTTACCTCTCCCAAAACATCGGTGAGCTCAATTCTCCCTATCATCCTTTATGTCAATCCTCCTGAAACAACAAAAAAAAACGTAGATCTTGACCTCATGTACGAGCACCTTCTGCGCATGCGCCAGGTTGCTTCGCTTCCACCCTTCAAGGATATCATCGCTCGTGAGCTGAACCCGGGGCCTGAAGTGACGAGCAAGGAGGACGTCAAGGCGTGGATACGCAATTCGTTTATGACTATCTACCGTAAGCCTCGTATCAGCCCTTTTGACTCGTTGTGAACTTGTCACTGATTTGATCCGCATTTGTGTAGACACCATCGGAACAAACTCGATGCTTCCAAAGGAGAAAGGCGGTGTCGTGTCGCCTGAGTTGAAGGTGTACGGGACAAAGAATTTGAGGGTGGTGGATATTTCTGTTTTGCCGTTGCACATTGCTGCCAACACTCAGTGTACGTTGTTTTTTTCTACTTTTCAATTTCTGGTGCTCGTGGTTTAATGAGTTCTTTCTTTCTTTCTGCTAGCGACTGCCTATGGGTTGGGTGAAATTGGTGGGTGGTTGAATTCTCAAGACAATAAACCATGTCGCTGACATACTTGTATCTTTGCAGCTGGCGATATCATCGAAGGGAAATGGCCCAAAGTCTAATGAGTTGACAAGGATGCTCCTCGAGAAGAACTGTTTTATTGATCTGTAGTATTATTCTGTAAACACGACTCGATCTTTGTGCCATTATTTGTACGTCGTATAAAGGGAAGTCGCAAAGCGTCCACAATACACAATTTACTCATTTGAACAGCCAATATCGCTTGAGTGGCTCAGTTGGTTAGAGCGTCGGTCTCATAGTCTATATGAGTAGGCAGTGCCTGCGCAATCCGAAGATCATGGGTTCGATTCCCCTCTCGAGCACTTTTTTGTGTCAAATAATATTCCATCTCGTGCAAAGGTCCGGATATCGATTTGAAGCGCGTGGAAGTTCCGGATCGATAAAGCAACGCGGGCCAAGTTATTGATTGAAATACCACCAACTCAGCGTTGTGACTTGACTACAAACTAATAGACAAGGTGTCCCCGGTGCTAGGATACAACTGCCTAGATACATTGATATCTTGTGTCATGGGAAGCAGTTTGAATTTTCGGACGACCGAAATGCGATCTTTCGGTGAGTCCGACGTTGGGATTTTCGACTCTTTGTTGATTGGACGGTCACTGGACTAGATATCTCGTTGTCTATAGTATCCTTGAATCCCCCTTCACCCGTGGAGAATTGGCTCAAGCGGAATCAACTCAGGACCCTAGCCCAAGAAAAGATCAATGTATATGTTTTGCAGGGGAGATAACCGTTGCGGGTGCGATTTGATGGAGGATCATTGTGATGTCGGGTTTTGAAGAGCCCATCTTCAACAAGCTCTCTTTTGTCGACACCGAGTTGCAACAAGTCTCCTCCTCCGACTTTCAACGGCTGTAGATAATATTTCAACCGCCGTCAGCTGGCGCTGCAGGTCATGTAAACTCAAACGCCTGACCCTTGCGCTTTATACTGACGCTTGTACATGTTTCAGGCCATCCGCCACGCTCGAGTCGTTGAATGTCGAGTCCGAGTCCGACTTGAAACTTTACGACATTCCGTCCTATGTCCACCAGACATGAGCATCAATTATTGCTTACGCACCGTCCTAGATGGTTCCACGACGTCGCATGCAACTCTCTGATGGCCTGGATGAGGCTATCTAGGGCCAATTGCGCCCCGACATCAAACCCGACGCACACCTTGTTCCAATGCTGACTTATCGCTTGATCTTTCGAGCATGTTGCCTCCAGGTTGCAAGAGCCAAGCTGCGACATTCTGTGGTGTTGCTGTCGTCGATGGGTTTGTTGTCTAGTATGCGCGGCAAGGCCTCTGACAGTGCTACTAGTATCCTACCAACTCCCGCCATGTACGCCTAGCGTGGTTGCATCTATCCATATTCGTGCACATAACACCCATGATGCGCCAAGGGACGTACGGTAAGCTGTAGTTTCAGGTTCAGTTTCAGTGCCTGGTTGATGCTCATTTGTCTCGCATCACTCATAGCCGTCCTTTCAGACATGCCGATCCAATTCCATGCCGAGTTCCGAGGCTTCAAGGACTACTAAAGGGGTAAGCCTGAGACCTACGTTGCCTCTATTCAACTTCTCCGGTTCTGCCATTCTCAACTTTCGACCGGGTCTCCTACAATGATCATGTGGGCCGCCCTCAAGTCTTCGATCCTTCTCTCGGTGTTGTGTCCCGTCGCTCTTGCTGCGATCTGGCAGAGTCCCTCACAGCTTCCTTCGAAGAAGTATGATTATATTATTATTGGCGGTTCGTTTCGTTGTCTTTTGCCTGCTAGACGACTTTGTTGATCCTCCCACAGGCGGTGCGGGTGGAAGCGTTTTGGCAAACCGACTTTCAGAAACATCTAGTGTTAATGTCCTTTTAATCGAAGCTGGATCCAGGTAAGTACAATGACGTATGTCTTCTAAGAGAGTTGTTCATTGACGAAACCTTGATAGTGACTACAAGAATTTAAATATTGAAGTACCTCAATATGTTGGCCGATTAATTCGCAGTCAATTCGTACGTTTCAATCAGTCGATGGTTCACTAACTGCTGCTCACATTGACGATCACATCAGGATTGGAACTTCACTACTGTGGCCCAGTCAGGACTTAATGGTCGCTCAATTCTATATGAGCGTGGTCATGTCCTGGGTGGATCCACCGCAGTTAGTCAGTAAACTTCAATGAGATCTTGTTTACGGTAGTGGGCTGATGATTCCCCACTTAGACTTTATGGCATACTGCCGCGGTTCAAAGGATGACTGGAACCGCTTTGCAAAGGTTACAGGTGATCAAGGCTGGTCATGGAACTCCATTCTTCCTTACGCTAAGAAGGTGAGTCAGTCACGTATGCTTGTTGTGCGCGAAGCTAAGATGGCCGTAGATGGAGAACTTTGTTGGGCCTATTGACGGACGGGACATCAGCAATGAAGTCGACTGGAACTCTCATGGACACACTGGTACGCTTCCTCCTTAACCATTCTAATATAATGAATTCTGATTGTTTGTCTGGTAGGCCCATTGCGTACAAGCGTACCCATGTACCCAATTTCGACCGACAGCCGTGTCTTGAACACTACGTCACAGCTCTCTTCCGAATTCCCCTTCAACCTTGATTACAATGGTGTGAGTGGCAACACTCTCGGCGTTGGTATGTAGTCTTCTGGTACCATTTAACTTGTGAATCTCACCTTGTCTACAGGCTGGGCTCAATTCTCTGTGGGTACTCGTTGGTGTTGATATGATCCACCTGCTTACACTTCGTTAGATTGCCAATGGCGAACGTCAATCCGCAGCTCTCGGTTACCTTGACCCGATCCTTGACCGCAGAAACCTCGACATCCTAGTAAACACCCATGTCACGCAGTTGATCCAGACAGGAACATCCTCTGGAAAGCCTGTCTTCCGTGGTGTTCAGTTCTCCCAACCCGGATCTAGTAGGTTGCTCCCGTATAGATTGCGGACCTACGGTACTAACTCGAAAGTTTAGGCCAAGTGTTCAAGTTGACTGCGTCCCAAGAGGTTATCGTTTCTGCGGGTGCGGTAAAGACGCCTCAACTGCGTAAGTGCAAAAACTCTATGTTAGCCACAGACCGACTAACTTTATTTCAAAAGTCATGCTTTCTGGTATCGGTGACAGTACAACCCTCAGCAAGTTCGGCATCAAGACCATCGTCAACTCACCCGATGTCGGAAAGAACCTCCAGGTAAGCTGAACATGCTCCTCAAGATGTGAGGCATCCATCGCTTAACACCTGATACCCCTAGGATCATCCTCTCGTCACATCATCGTTCACCGTCAACTCTACCAACACACTTGACAACTTGAACTTTGACCCCACCTTCGCCGCACAGCAGCTTCAGTTGTGGCAAAACGGCCACACTGGACAGTTGGGTCTCCCTGCTGCTAACCAGATTGCTTGGCTCAGGTTGCCTTCATCTTCCGGTGTCTTGCAGGGGGCTCAAGATCCCAGTGCAGGACCTACGTCTGCTCACCATGAATTCATTATCACGGTAAGAATGGCCTTGAGACGCTGCACACAAGGAAGCCTGTTAACGAGTTTTGGTTACGGTTCTGCAGGATGCGTACATTGGCTTTACTGGACAGTTCCCTGCAGGCGGCAACTTCCTCACCTTCTTCACCGTCGTAGTGTCCCCCGCATCCCGTAAGCCTCACTTATTCTATGGTGATAGTAAGCCCACAGTCTCACCAGAGTTTTCGTTTAGGTGGCTCGATCACAATCCAATCCACCAACCCATTCGACGCCCCCGTCATCGACGCTGGCTTCTTCACCTCCGAGTTCGACGTCCAAACCATGCGCGAGTCCATCAAGTCCATGCGCCGTTTCACGTCTGCGCCAGCCTGGAAAGACTGGATCATCAGTGAATACGGTGACGACTTTATCAACGCACAGACGGACGCGCAGATCGAGGCGTACGCACGCGCTAGTGCAGAGACCATCAACCACGCCAGCAGTACAGCCGCCATGGGCAAGACTGGCAGCTCGGGATCTGGCAGCGGTGTTCTCAACTCGGATTTGACTGTCAAGGGCACCGTCGGTTTGCGCGTCGTTGATGCGTCTGCTTTCGTGAGTTTGTTATCTACGACAATAGGTGGTGTGTTGCTGACCTTTTTTTTTCGTACTAGCCCTTCATACCCGCCGCGCATACACAAGCACCTGTGTACATCTTGGCCGAGAGGGCGGCCGACCTCATCAAGTCCGTCAACCCTGTCTACTAATTCTTTTGTTCGTATACCCAGTAACACTCTTTTTTTGGCTCGTATTTATCTTAGGATTCAACGCCTTCAATGGCCATGGCCGCATTGGTAAAAATTGACGCTCTTTGAACATTGTTTTTGGTTGTTGCTTCGATGTACATGACTACTCCTAACTGTTGGAGATAATTGTAGGTGTAATACGCAGGACCTCTGGACCTCTGTTTTGTGCACAACGTTTATAAATTAATTGTGATTTATCACTGTAAATGACTCTGTTTGAAACTCGAATGGTCATTCTGTCATGCTCTCCAGATATTCAACCCGAAGCCGGTTTGCTGTAGATTCATTTTGAGGTGCGTAACAAGCCTGAGGATATACGACACAAGGCGCATTGAAAAGTAAAGTGTACTACTCACACATGTGGAAGGTCAAAAGCCCCTCATGATCATGAGGTCGTCCAAGCGCAGGAGTAACAACCATGTCATACTGAAACCTAGAGAGAGTCAAAATTCCTGTCGTTGTCAATCGAGGATGAGAAGGAGCACTGCATCCAATATAATCCCCCATCACCCCTTGGCCGACCATCCTTGCCGGGCCACAGTTGTGACTTGATCGCATGTCTTGAACCTGAACACTGGGCTGTCGATATGCAGTTGTTGTTAGACACAGCATCGAGAGTAATTCGACAAACACACAAGCATACGAATGGACATACCGCCTATCAGATATGAACGATCAACTTCAGGGATACTCTACCTCCTCTGTGTCGGTAAATCCACCAGCCCGAATGAATGCGTGTGACCAAACGCGTAAATCCACGACGTCGTATTTGCTGTCAAACGTAGAGCGAATGATATCTGCGTGGTGCGGGGTAGAAGTAGCTGGTGACCGGTGATCACTAAGTTGGATGGGAAGTATGGTTGACGTACTTACAGTACTCTACATCGAACGCATCGTCGCACGCACCGTACAACTTTCCTCTCGGGCCAGGAGTTACGAGATACGGCTGATCCAAATTACCTAGGCTGCGAAGATTTCCCGGGCGTATGCGTGCATAGTGACTCGTCTTCGACGTATGATGCGTGTCGGGGAAGCGTGCGCCGACCGC